CTATTCGATATACTCGTAGCATAGTATGATGGTTGAGATGTTATGTACGTACGTACGAATATTGCAGTGATGAGATGCGGAGGAACAGGAACTTTCTACATATTTTCCTTGGTTGTGAGAGGCTTTTGGTGAGGATTCAGAGAGATTCGTTGTGTGAGAAAGCATGAAGGCGTGACTCGACAACGTGATGGTTTGACGAGCACGAGCACGCCCCGATTATTACAACACGTATACAACACATTTTTCAACACGTCTGCACGACTTTACCTACCCCTACGGCCCGTCATGGCCGAGCCGCTCTACACTCCCATCACACACAACTGAGCCACCCGAATAATCAATCATGTGCATCCACCAAGACGCAGCCAGTGACGGCTCAGTCGACCTCAGAAGCAGAGTATATGGCAGCCGGGGAGGGCGTGAAGGAGGCGTTGTTTGTGCGTGGCGTTCTGTCGTACATAGCGCCGGAGACGAGTGAGGCGAAGATCAAGGTCCTTGAGGACAACAAGGGGACTCTCGCCTTAATCGAGAACCCGTTCAGCTCAGCGAGGAGCAAGCACATCGACGTGCGGTTCCATTTCATTTGCGAGCTATCCAAGTCGGGCAAGATCACTGCAGAGTATGTTCCGACTGGAGAGCAGCACGCCGACATGCTGACCAAGGTCCTTGGCAGAGATAAGTTAGAGTACCACCGGAAGGCTCTGATGAACCTACCGATGTAGTGTTCTCTTGTTATGTTTGGTTTATGTGGTGGTTTTAGCACTTGACATATATGACCATGGTACGTCACGCAGGAAGCGTTGTGCCGGCGCGTCACCCGCGGCTGGAGCCTAGAAACGCCGAGAGCGTTGCTTCGGGTGTGTAATCAGAGTAACCGGTTCAATTTGTCTTGCCTTGGCCTTGTCTTGGAAGTGCGGCCTTTGGAATCCTCCGTGATAGCGACGGTTTTCTATACTTAGACTAGTCTAGGGTGTTGTTAGACGAGGGTTTTTGATCCGGTTGGCCGGGTTTTCCCTCGAGCCTGTTGTTGTTTTGAGTCCCTTTGGTAGATCAGGGGTATCCATGCCCCACGTTAGGTTNTAGGGCTTCACTTCTCCCTATCCCCTTTGCGTGTCTAATACAAGAGATAAAACGTCTTCCCCTTCCAAGTGAAGGACATATACGAACACGCACACACAGAAAGGCACGGACAAGCGGAGTTTATTCGATCTTCAGTCGTCGTCAGGTCGTCGCCTGTGCAATCGCACGATATCAACCCCAACATATGACAACCATGGGTAACGCTGCTTCTCGACGCCGCCCGCACACGTTCGGTTGCACGCACACGCTCCTCACTCCTCAAGCTCTCCCACATCACACTTTTTTCCAGCCTATGTTGAGTATCTATCCTGCTCTTCTCTTTCGTAGGTGCCTGAAAGGCGCAACAACCATCTATCTGACGGTTGCCTTTTCTGGCAGTAGCGCCAAGCGCAAAACTTCCGACTACGTATCTGGCGAAGTCCTCGGGAAGTGTGTACACGCCGATCTAGGGAGCGGCTTGACTCGTGGAGACATATGGTACGACTTCTTCCTGCGGGCTCCAAGGTTTCTTGTGCTACTCGTGAGTGCAGAGAGAGCGAGAAGGAGAGTATGAGCTGGTGGACGAGAGGGCTTGTGGGTTTCTCAAATCATCCCTGTGCATATCCCTTTCTTCCCCTCGCTGCCTCGGCAAGGTTTTGCGTAGGCATGACCCTTAATGAGGGGGGGGGGTGTTTCTAGCGAGCAGGGCTAGACTCACCCTCAAGGGACCGATTCCTTCTTGCTGCGGCGCACCCGCCGCGAGGCGTGCGTAGTGGTGGAGTTGGGTCGGCACTGGTGCGTCAGGTACAAATGTGCAATGCGCGGGCCTCCAGGCCGTCGGCGTAGGCAGCAATGCCCATCTCATCTTTGTGCGCGGAGGCAGACGT